TGATGGTTGCTTGATGTCAATAAAACAGCTGTTCTTGTCATCATGAGCAGTGATAACATTTTGTCTGAATTTACACTCTGACCTCAAGGAAGGGCTGTCCAAAGCTCAACACCATAAAGAAATGAAAAGGCAAGAAACTCATTGATTACTACTTTTCCCTCCTCTAGAGTTTGTGACTGGTTTTGACAGGGTGCCTGTTCTTGACACGGAAAAGATCAAGATGACAATCAAAGTCAGCCCAGCCCAGGACCTCTCCTATGACCAGCAATACCCTGAAACACATACATGTTTCTCAATCCTGGAGCTGCCCTTATACTCAACCAAAGAGATCATGAAAACCATGCTGACAAAGGGCCTGAGCAAAAACAGAAGAATCTGTAAGTGATGGTGGGACTGTACTATGACTGTTGCTGTACTGAACAGAGGACTTAACATATAACACATCAGTGCCTGTGTATAAGCAAATACCAAGGGTTTTAAACTCTCTACAATAATCACGTGTTTGGGTGTAAATCAAATCAAGCTTAACTCTCACGTGACGTGAAGGTGAACGGCTAGAATGACTGAATGGACTGCAGAGAAGTAAAACTTGTAAATTGTGGGGTTTTTGCCAGTGTACGGACGACTACCTTACAGTAAATTAATGTTAAATGTAAAGTGCTCCTTATACTATAAAAAATCATCTCTGGGAGACCTCTGAAGGTGAAAACATAATGTTCTTTGAAAACGCTACTGACAAGGGCCTCAACAGGTGGCGTAGGCCTAACAACAAAGCGACACCTGGAGGATGTCAGGCCCAGGAGCGATAAGCAAAGCTACCAGACTACAAACCAAGAAAGATCACCATGCTCGATCCAACTCGGAAAAGAATTATGCTGAGGCTCTAGCAGCTCCCTCGCAGCGCAAGAAACCGAGTAAAGCTTCAACTGGAGTTTTTCTATCTAACTGCTATGAGACAAGCGAGGAGGATGAAGTTACCATGAAGAGCATGAGAGGTGAGGGTGAAGAAGACAGCATGCACGCGGACATAATGGCAGCGGTTGAGGCCGAAACTGGGTCAATTTTGGCCAAATTCGGTACTGAGGACTTGACCAAAATAGTACTGATTACCATTAAGGCAGCGGTGCCTGCTATTGTTAAAGCTGTGCAGAAACAACTGGATCTATCTGTGGATAAGATGAAGGTCAACAACAACATCCTGGAGTGTAAATACAAGGAGGATGAGCTGGAACAATACAGCCACAAGGAGAACATCAGAATCAACGGGATGGAGGAGCAGAGTGGTGAGGAGAGCGAGGATCAGCTGATAGAGAAAGTGTGCAGCCTCACTGCAGCTCCTGGCTCTGACATGAAAGAGGAGGATATCTCTATGGCGCACCGGCTGGGTGGTGTAAAGAAGCAGGGTAAGATGCGTCCTGTGATTGTTAGATTTGTGAGTAGAAGAAAGAAAGCTGATCTGATAAAGTTGAAGGAAAATGACACATACAAGAAAGTTTTCATCTGTGAAGACCTCACAAATATGAGATACAAGCTGTTCAGATATGCAAAGGGTAAGTGTGATCTCACATTCGTCAGAGACGGCAAAATTATCTGTAAGAAAGATGGTAAATACATCACAATTGACAATCCGGATGACCTCTTTCTGATAGGGTATGTTAATGTGGACTACAAAGACTTTGGAATTGACAAATCTGGAGTACAAAAAA